GTCAACACAATTAGTGCCAGTTGAAATAGGATTAGTAGGATTAAGTACTCTCCCTGTCTGGTCATTTCATTTGTAGGACACACCCCATACCGCATATTCTGTATTTCATTGGTTAGTATAGGGAACACCCATTTTGTATCATTCAAGGAATCTTTTTATTGTTTCAATTTTAGATAAATAGTCACCAACTCCATTTGTTCATCAGTAGGGTTTAGACTCCCAACACAGGTCAGCTCTAACCCTCAGCCCAGAGGGTTGTACCGACTCTCTGTGGCCACCCCATGTTATTTTTGTTCTTGTTAATAAAACTGTAATTAGCTTCTTGTGACTTCGGACTCTTTGCTGAGCTAATTCCCCCAAGCAGACCAGCACGTCAGTTAGATAAGGGGTTTCACCGGAACCATCACTTGGACCCAAGACCCTTATCATAATATATGAGAGGATACGGTTTGATGACAATCAAAATACAGTGCACTTGGGACTACGATGGGATTTCATCGCCAAAAATCAATTGCCAGGTTAACCAGACAGATTATTCCATGTTCCTGCACTCTCCTCGATTCTCAGATCTCAAGATACGCTGGACCTATCTCTGTGCCCAGTCAGAGCTCTCAAAATCTATCTACGACGTTCCAAAACGAGGCGACGACATCTCAAACGATTATTCATCCCTCTATCGGCAACGACTCAGACCGAAGTCTCTCGTACCACCATGTCTATATGGATCAGAACTGTCATACTTCACGCCTACAAGGCTGCAGGACTCGACCCTCCAAGAACATCTAATCCACATGAGATCAGAGCATTGGCTTCCACACTCGCTCTACATGGTAACTGCTCATTAAATACCATCATGGAGGGCTGCTTTTGGAAATCCGACATGGTGTTTGCTAATCACTATCTGAGAGATATCACCACCGAGGACGTCTCAGGTATTCACCATTTCGGTCCCATGGTCCTCGCACAGCAGTTGACAGTCCCTCGTAGACGATAAGACATATTCTTACGAGATTATTATGTATATTTCATACCAGTATTATCTAGCTTATAACTCTATGAAGTTTTAGGGCTATTTATATACTTAGCTTAAGTCTACTTAGCCTTAAGCCCAGTACTGATGGTTATGTACAGTTGGGTAGCTTCTCCATGTTGGAGTCGCTTTTTATACCTTTATTGCTATTATCATAGTATATTATTATTGTAATACCCCATCTATGGCAGCGGATAAACTTATGGTTTATAGTAGCAGGAATTATCCTAATTCAGTGCCATTATGAAGTTCCCGTAAAGGGGGTTATTACATATATATATATAAATCACTAATTAATTTTATAAAATCCAAAGTATTCTGGTCTTCCCACCTCCGTTTCCGTAGGATTCTACAAGCAAAAGAGCATGAGTCAGGATAAGGAAAAATATGTAATTTTCTGAGTAAAATTGATATTTTATACTTATCCTGAGTCATGAGGTAAGCCCTCCCATCCTCCCCACATAACACTTTGGATTAACCTGTAAATTCAAGTGTTGGGCTCGCTATATCAGGAGAGAGTGAAGCATGAGGCCAGAAGGTGGCGCCGCCTTTCACGCGCAAAGGCAAAGGGAGGCAACTCGTGGTGAGTACTAATTAGTGATTTTACATTGAAGGGAGCTTCAATTAGGGAGATACAAGTGTTCCACTATGTTCGCAAGAAGAAGAAGACAAGCAAAAGAGCATGAGTCAGGATAAGTATAAAATATCAATTTTACTCAGAAAATTACATTTTTGTTTTATTTTGAAGATTGATAAGCTCGCTCCTGACTATATTACATGTAAACAAAATGACATCTGCCTCTCGACTGGATTTTTAAAATCAGTGAAACATATTTTGACAGGCTTAAAACTGATATAGAAATGGTTAATTATGTTTAAGTTGAGTGTGCAAATGCTGCAAAATAGTTTAGATAAAGCATTGAAAGTTGGTAAAATAAATGCAGTGTCTATTCTAGGACGCGCGATTGCGCGATTCACGCTGATGATTATCAAATCGCCCCTCATAAAAAACAGCACAGCGCGAATTGTCGCGCATAGTAATTTTATCCCTACCTACCTTTCAAAAACCATACGTAAAAAGCTTTATATTGACAGAGAATGATTTTTAAATCAGAGTCAGCCACAGAGTCGATAGCAACAGGAATACACGACAGAGTAACCTCCCTTGGTAAAATCCACTACCGGCACTGAGGAAACGAAATCCCATTCACTTCAGTATGAAAATAGATAAAACTTTTCAATAAAATTATGATTTGATTAATTAATTGTTTGAAAACCATAGACTAAAAACTCTAAACACATTGCTTATTGTATATCGCTTTCAAGACACAGTTTCCTCGATCTTTTTAAGAAAATCCGTTCGTTTTAGTTTCATTTTCGAAATCAAATAATATTATCACTTGAAGTAATGCAGACGACGAATGTAGACGAATTTTTGTATTTACAACGGTTTGTGGTAATTTGGCGTGAATAATGTCGTGCAAAAGAATGAAAATAACTGATTTCTTTGCACAAAGTACCATTGAGAAAGTGACAACCACGTCTTCCCAGACCGATACGTCTCTTACAGTGACGTGTGAATCGAAAGGCGAGCAAAACCCTGAGACCGACCCCGGTCCTTCCGACTCTAAAAAGATGAAACCAAGTGTTTTTCAGAAAAAAATGGTTGAAAGAATGGCCATGGCTCTCTCAAAACGAGCTTGGTGCGATGTTATGTGACTATTGTAACACAAATAAAATGAGCAATAGTTTTACTGGTGATGGCTGCAATAACTTTCGTACATCCACACTATCTAGACATGCACAAACCAGTGACCACCAGCTTTCCCTAATAGCACAGACATTTCAGTGACAGGAAAGCTCATTGTTTATGTCAAATTTGTTGACAAAGACTTTAATGTGAGATCACACTTTCTGGGAAATTTTGACTTAGGTGAAAAGGGAGCAGATGCTATAACCCAGAAACTCCTTGCAATTTTCAATGATATTGGTGTTGATGTGAAACAGATTTTGTGTTTTGCATCTGATGGTGCCAGTGTTATGACTGGATCTATAAATGGTGTAGCAGCACAGCTTAGAAGATCATCCCCATTTCTTATCAACATCCATTGCGTTGCACATAGACTTGCATTATGTACAAGCCAGTCTGCTGCCAAGATTGACGTTATGCAACAGTACAAATCTACTCTCACAAGCCTGTACTATTATTTCAAGGGGTCATCAGTTAGAAGCAGCAGACTAGCTAGGCTACAGGAACTGCTCAATCAGCCTCATATCAAAGTAAGAGAAATGCATGATATAAGATGGTTCAGCTTCTACAATGTGTTGGAAGCTATCTACAAATCCTGGAACAGCCTGGTTGTATATTTTCAATCAACGGAACTATCAAGGGATCCAAAAGCTACAGGTCTTTTGAAGTCAATCACTAACTTCAAGTTTGCTGCGCTGACCTGGAGTCTTATGGATGTAATACCAGTGATAACTGAGCTTAATTTGGTGATGCAAAAAGACAGTTTGGATGTTGCATCACTGAAGCCAGTGGTTGCCAGTACAATTGATAAACTTCAGTACCTGAAAGAAAATGATGGACATTACAGACAAGAGTTCCAGTCTCTGTTGACAGATGATAATCACCTCTATGGGCACGAACTGAAATACAAGAAACAGCAGGAGGCAGTTGTGAAGTCAACCATGACAACCTTTATTAAGACACTCATCGGAAATCTTAACACAAGATTCCCCCCTGAAAGTGTTACAGTGATTTCATCTTTTGATGTGTTGGCATTCAGGGACATGTCATTTGTTGCTGAAACAAATCTTCAAAGTCATGGTAAGGAGAAACTAGATGTGTTGATCTCTCAACATGGCAGCCCTAAGGGTGATGTGCCCGCCCTCATCGATGCAGAGTCAGCTAAACAAGAATTTGACCTGTTAAAACGCCTCCTGATTCAGCAGAAGTATCCAAGAGACAAATTCCATGAATTATGGAGAATCATTGATGGCTATCACAAGGACCTTTTCCCAAACCTTCTGAAGCTTGCCTGTATTGGATTAACTTTGCCAGTCCAGACAGCAATTTGTGAACGTGGTTTCTCAAGTCAAAATATTATAAAAACATCACATAGAAACAGACTGAGTGAGAAGGCACTCAAAGAGTTGATGATAATAAGTATTGAGGGCCCACCTGTTTCAACCTTTGATGCCAGCAAGGCCCTTGAGGAATTCAAAACCAAAAAGCAAAGGAGGATCTTTCAAAGATTTTCTTTCAATATGTAACAATCTGAATCAGAAGTTATGAAGTTGACTTTGAGTGGACAGGATGTGGACAAATTATTTGTAAGCATTGAATAGAGTTTTAAAGATGTGAATTTCAAGGAATCTAGTTCAATTTTGGGAAATTCATTTCAGTCATTACAGAAAAAGATAGAACTCACCTAAAAAACAAACTTCATATTGTTTGTTATTCTTTATTCACATGAGGTTACAGGTACATTATTTAGAGGGACAGCAATACTGGTATCCCCCCCTACTGTTTCCAAATCCCCCCTCTTTTTTACATGATGGGGGGACAAATCCCCCCTAGATTTTTAGTTCTAGAATAGACACTGTAAATGTGCACACAGTGAACTCAAAACAGCTAATCGAACGTTTTTTTAACTCTGGGCTCTGCATGCGTCATATTATGATGTCATATGATTGTTAGTGATACAGCTTCTCGGCAGAGAGTTTGGTGGTTTCCGTGGCAGCAGGTAATATTTTTTCCAGTTGTCACCCTTTTGGGAGGGGTCACATGGAAACATGCTAAAGCATCATTGACCAATGAAATTAAAGTATTTTACATGAAGGTATGACATAAGTCAATTTTCACTCATACCTTCCTGAGAGATATGTCACAGTCTGTACCTCACTCTTCCATGATATATCATTTCAATTCATGGTGATCAAATATGATTTACACATTTGTTTCCAGTCCACCCGATATGGAGCTGCCTAAGATGGTGAATGAAATTCCCCTCCCTGATCTTCCAAAACAGGAGCCCAAGTCGCGGTTCAAGGAGAAGAAGGTGACCTCTCTAGGAGGTGGATCAGGGTCAGTGACCTTCAAGAAGAGAAAGTTGGCGTCTGGCGCACGGAATGTCAGACAGAGAGACAGTGATAATTAAATGGTTGCTGTGTGACAAACAGTATGACTGAATGGTTTCCATGGGACCTGTTCTCAGCGATAACTAATGACTCAACAAAATTCACAATGGAGGAATGCTCATATTATTTTTATTTATGTTTTAGAAGCAAACAGTGTGAAAAGTAATGTGCAATGGCTATCTTCTACATCACACAATAGTTTACAGATACTAGTGTATGAATTATAGAAGTCATTGTCACTGTGTGTTTTTGTTAAGCAGACGCTGAACACAGAAACTATCAAAATCACACCAAGAATATACCCACCTTGTTGTACATTGTTACATTGGTTTAAAAATATTTTAAAAATCATTTCAGATATGTCACAGATATGTATATGTGTATGTCTTAGTATCTGAGTGGGTACTTCATGTCTCAATGACCCGTGAACATCCGGGTTAGAATTGATCTTCAGTAAGCCATGCTTGTCGTAAGAGGCGACTAACAGGATCGGGTGGTCAGGCTCGCTCAATTGGTTGACAGAATGTGATCGTATCCCAATTCTGTGATAGCATCTAACATTTTGTACCACACCGACCGCCATCCATGACACATGGCTAGTTTGTGGGGCTCCTGAAGTTGGCGCAGCCCGTAGAGCATGCCAAGTGTATACTTCCCATGGAGAATGCTTGGATGGTGCTGTCTCTGGTGTGAGTTGAGGTTTTACTGCTGATGTGACAGGGAGCTGTTGAGGCAAGCCCCTCGTCACAGTGGAGAGAAAGAATCAAAAACATGCTTTTATGATGGGTTGTTCGAGTGAACAAAATTGATAAACAAGTGTGATTTTACTGTAGTACAGTTGGGAGCAGATGATCAAGCAAAATACATGTATATGTGTTTTACGTACGGACAGACAGATATGGAGGTACCATTAAAGCTGTCCAAGATTTGTTTCCTGTCTCACCCTGCATCACAAGACTGTAACCTGCAGTGACGTCAGTAAGAAACTTTCCCAAGCTCTATATGTTATTCAAATACAACTATGAAATCCAGATTTCAGGTGTATCTTGACCAGTTTCAAAGAGCTTTGTTAACCTGATCACACTGGAACCGACAGCTGGAGAATGAAGAATTTGCTCTAAGGTAATACAAGACAAATCTTATGGATAACAACTTCTTGGTTTATTTTTCACAATGTTTCTGGGCTAGTTCTTGCCCCTTCTTCAGGTGGATAATGGTGATAGTGAACAGTACAGTATATATATAGATGTACAGGAAGCCAGATATGGAAATTGAGTAATTGAGTATATACAAGGTATAATTAAGTATGTACAAACAATGCAGTGAGATCAAAGAGCAGAATACAATGATACGGTATGTTTTTACTGTAAGGGGCAAGGGTGTGTTTACATAGCAGAGTGGTTAAAGCAGATAGAGTTTGAGAGTCTATGATTTCTGGGTGATGGACCAGGTGCTGGGGAGGTAAACCCCCTGATCTCTGTTGATCTCAGGCACTAATCTTCTTATGTTGACTGACTCTACATAAGACTTAAAGAACATAAAACTTCAGTTGGAAAATCTGATCTCAAATCTGCCCTCTCAGAACACATCGTTAACAATCCCAACCACTCTATCAATATTGGCAACACACCGAAGTCCTGGCTTCCAACATCAGCAATTGGCGCCAATGAAAACTGTGTGAGTCAGTCAACATAAGAAGATTAGTGCCTGAGATCAACAGAGATCAGGGGGTTTACCTCCCCAGCACCTGGTCCATCACCCAGAAATCATAGACTCTCAAACTCTATCTGCTTTAACCACTCTGCTATGTAAACACACCCTTGCCCCTTACAGTAAAAACATACCGTATCATTGTATTCTGCTCTTTGATCTCACTGCATTGTTTGTACATACTTAATTATACCTTGTATATACTCAATTACTCAATTTCCATATCTGGCTTCCTGTACATCTATATATATACTGTACTGTTCACTATCACCATTATTCACCTGAAGAAGGGGCAAGAACTAGCCCAGAAACGTTTTGAAAAATAAACCAAGAAGTTGTTATCCATAAGATTTGTCTTGTATTACTACACCAACTTCTAAATGCCTTTGAAGAATTGCTCTAAGGAGCTTTCTTGGCTGGAGATTGGGGCAAAAGGTCACAATAGATCGCTAATATATCCCAGCCCACCAGTTTCTAAATGTACCCACAGTCGCATATCCCACCCCATACCCACTACCCCTTATCCCACCCCATATCCCACCCCATATCCCACCCCATACCCACTACCCCTTATCCCACCCCATACCCACTACCCCTTATCCCACCCCATACCCACTACCCCTTATCCCACCCCATATCCCACCCCATACCCACTACCCCTTATCCCACCCCATACCCACCCCATACCCACTACCCCTTATCCCACCCCCATACCCACCCCATACCCACTACCCCTTATCCCACCCCATACCCACTACCCCACCCCATATACCCACTACCCCTTATCCCACCCCATACCCACCCCATACCCACTACCCCTTATCCCACCCCATATCCCACCCTAAACCCACTACCCCTTATCCCACCCCATATCCCACCCCATACCCACTACCCCTTATCCCACCCCATACCCACCCCATACCCACTACCCCCTTATCCCACCCCATACCCACTACCCCTTATCCCACCCCATACCCACAACCCCTTATCCCACCCCATATCCCACCCCATACCCACTACCCCTTATCCCATCCCATATCCCACTACCCCATACCCACAACCCTATATTCCACCACACCAGTTTCCAAATGTTCCCAAAATAACATATCCCACCCTAAACCCACTACCCCTTATCCCATCCCAGTACCCATAATCACATATCGCAGATGATGATTATGCAAGAAGGCCAATTCTCACATGACCTGGGCCATGGCTGACTTGTCCAAATCATCTCCGATCTGATGTTGTTTTTGCATAGAAAGTCACACAGAGCTGAGAGCGATGATATTTTATTTCAGTTGATCAGTTGTCTGATGATGAACTATGGATGCTGATGGTGGTACATGTCATTTATGAATAAATATGAACATGAACTAAAACAAGTGAGACATCATGTAATGCTCATATCATGACTAATTAAAGGTGTATCAAATATCAGATATGATGTGGAAAGAAACGATCATTTGAATTCCCTAATCATGCACAGAGAGCTGATTGATGAGGGCTGAATGTGGATCTTCATACCGTGCTTCATGTACAAACTGAGGTGCAGGCAAAATATATGGTATCTAGTCTTGGTTTCAGTATTGTTGAAGTACAGACATGGTGGTCAACCCAAATCCTGACAGCATCCTGCATGACCTGTAGAACACAGTAATGCACGGTGAGCACCCAGCCTACAAACTGGGACGGAATTCCTCTGTCATCTTTCTGGAAGAGTGGTAGCTCATGCAAGTTCCAGGTCAACAAAGGAAGTGCTTAGTAATATTAACAAAGTTCATGTGGAACAACACTGGTCTCTGGAAGAATGCACATAGCGTGGTCATGCCCACCTAGTATCATGATTCCAGACAGTTACATCCACCTTTACAGAAGCTGCTGATCCCCCACACCGTAAAAAAGTACACAGAGCTACACAAATCCTAGTCGATAGCTATGGTACAGTCAGGCTACAGTAGCCACTCCCAAGCAGTGTATGAATAATTTTGAAAAGTCACTGGCCAGGAGGGCTAGTTAAATGTTGCTAGCCCACATCATACTTCACCTGCCCAGCAAAATATCAATATCAAAATGGAAATCGGCCAGAATTGGTGTGATGTTTGGTAATTGACAACAGCGAAGCTGATTGGATACTAGTAGAGCCTTGGCCAATCAAGTGAAACGTTACATTTGTATTGTTATGGCTCCTAACCTCTTTTGCGCAACGCTATTAACATCTTTTATATAGCGATCTTCGTGTGACAAGAGAATAAATATCACGAAACTTTTGCGGACGGACTTTTAACACCTTAATACTTGGCTTCATCATGTTCATGTGCATTAAATAAACAACAAATTATCTGAGATTTTCAGCTAGCCAGTCTGGATAACTTTAACGATATATTACTGGCCCGATTCACAATCAGCCAGCATTTTGGCTAGCGGGCCAGTAGCTATTTCGAATGCCGTTCCCAGGTCCTAGTGGATAGCTGTGGTACAGTCCCAGCTAGAGTAGCCGCTCCCGATTCCAAGTGGATAGTTGTGGTACAGGCCACTCACCCCAGGCATCTTGGAATAGACTGGCAAGCTCTGCCGTCAAAGTTCAGCAGTAAATTTAGCATCCAATCTAAACCAGAACATCTGTGTACATCTATGTGTTCCAGCCAATCCACACATGACAGACGATCATGTACACTGTTGCTACGGCAACAGTAACGAGCATCATTGGAAATCCAACTCTGCAACAGAATATTTTATCAATCATGTTTTGTGTACACAATCATGTTGAATGCCATCCTGGAAAAAAGCCTTTAGGTACATTCACTAAGCCTGTTGTAGACTCAGATATTGAGGTTGGACATAGGTTATGTCACAGCATGCCAACCACAGGAGCGGAGCCATGAAGATCTTACACATTTTCTGCTGTGTTGTGAGCAAAATCTGAAATATGGCGCTGACAGTCCACGGATCATTACCAAATCTAGCTTTCAGATCGTATATCTGACAGAAATAAGGGACGCAATTCGACACCCTGAAAACATTACCTCAAGAATAACGGATAATTGCTTGGAACGTTTACCAGCAGATTACACTTCTGTCACCGCATTTACTTAGTGATGATATCATGAAGTACTTACTTGAAAAACTCTCTGAAGGAAATGCCGTACCCGTGCTGCTCTGCTATGCCGGCACATACCACGTTGGCAGAAGCTCCGATAAGAGTCCCGTTGCCTTGGAAATATAAACCGTATCAAATGATTGAATTATTAGCGACCTGTCAGCTCAGTTATAGTATGGTGTGAGCTGACATTTTGGTGTATTCAGTATTCCTTCTGTGTGTTTTAACACTGCATTCTTTGCTGTGACATGGCGGCCTACTAATATTCCAGTCTAGGGGAACTGGACAATCTGTACTCAAGGAAAGTTTAACCGAGATTTTTTGGGCAGTCTCATATCAAAGTATTGGACAACCCGTACCCCCTCGTACCTAAACAACTGGATGATACCTGACCAAGAAATGCGAATCTGTACCCAATACAAAAAATATAATTTGAAGTGAAAGTTTGTGAATCCACTGAGAGCAACGACCCACACCGTCCCGAGGCTGCTGGGGGTCAGGTCCAAGTCTTGGTATCCCGGATGGTGAACTCCTGACATGTTTCGGTAAGTATGTCCTTACGCCAGAACACACCAGCCATTTTACCACACATATCAAGAACCAGGGTAAGCTCGAGCGTACGTAGGTCACCCAGGTATGTGACCAAGGATGCAAAACGTTCCCGAACTTCACCCATGTATCAGGCCAAGGGTGCAAAACGTTCCCGGACTCCACCCATGTATCTCACTAAGGAGCCAAGACATTCCCGAACTTCACCCATGTGTCAGGCCAAGGGTGCAAAACGTTCCCGGACTCCACCCATGTATCTAACTAAGGGTGCAAAACGTTCCCTGACTCCACCCATGTATCAGGCCAAGGGTGCAAAACGTTCCCGGACTCCACCCATGTATCTAACTAAGGGTGCAAAACGTTCCCGGACTCCACCCATGTATCTAACTAAGGGTGCAAAACGTTCCCGAACTTCACCCATGTATCTGATTAAGGAGCCAAGATGTTACCTAACTCCACCCATGTATCTGACTAAGGAGCCAAAATGTTACCTAACTCCAAACATGTATCAGACCAAGGGTGCAAAACGTTCCCGAACTTCACCCATGTATCTGATTAAGGAGCCAAGATGTTACCTAACTCCACCCATGTATCTGACTAAGGGAAAAACGTTACCTAACTCCAAACCCATGTATCTGATTAAGGAGCCAAGATGTTACCTAACTCCACCCATGTATCTGACTAAGGAGCCAAAATGTTACCTAACTCCAAACATGTATCAGACCAAGGGTGCAAAACGTTCCCGAACTCACCCATGTATCTGACTAAGGGGCCAAGATGTTACCGAACTCCACCCATGTATCTGACCAAGGGTGCAAAACGTTCCCGAACTTCACCCATGTATTCGACAAAGGGGCCAAGATGTTACCTAACTCCAACCATGTATCTGACCAAGGGTGCAACTTGAACGTTCCCGAACTTCACCCATGTATCTGACTAAGGGGCCAAGATGTTACCTAACTCCACCCATGTATCTGACCAAGGGTGCAAAACGTTCCCGACCTTCACCCATGTATTTGACAAAGGGGCCAAGCTGTTACCTAACTCCGTCCATGTAACAGACCAAGGGTGCAAAACGTTCCCGACCTTCACCCATGTATCTGACTAAAGAGCCAAGACGTTCCCGAACTCCACCCATGTATCTGACTAAGGGGCCAATTTGTCACCCACGTATTTGACCAAGGGTGCAAAACGTTCCCGAACTCCACCAACGTGCATTTGACCAAGGGGCCAACATGTTACCTGACTCCACCCATGTATTTGACCAAGAGTGCAAATGAGTTAAATGAGTTTTAACAATGGCACTGTTCGGGGATCATGTATGTTTGAATAGTGACGTTTGAGTAGTTCTCCTCGTGCCAACAAACCCTTCCTCTCACCTCCCAGACATGCGCCGAACGCCAAAGCCAGCATCAGGGGAACTAACTGCAGATTGAGTTCTTTGTCCTCACTCAGCTGCTGCAACACCGGTACCTAGCAACAGCATGACGTCATTACTACAACGGGCCAATCAACAAGGCAGATTATGGCAGAGACGTTCTACAAATGTCTTATGTCAGTTTGATTCCACATGTCTTATGTTTCTTTGTTTACAAATGTTACCCGTTGTGAAGATTGTTCAGCATTATAACTTGCTGACAGCGGTGTACTGATTGCCGTCATACGGCCGCTAAACTGCTTGGGACCTATACTATCCAAGAATATCTTATCCTTAAAGTAGTCTTCAGTTCCTAGTTATCATCTAGTTGTCAACGTCGCAACTGACCATGGCGGTGGTGTAGGGAATGTTGTCGATGAAGCTGGAGGCCAATGCAGACACCCAGATGATAATGACAAGAGCCGCCAACAGCCTGGACTCTCGTCTACGGATTTGATGACGTCACTCATGGCCGTCCCGATCGTATGTATGAGGTCCAGTTCTGCTAATGCCTGTGTGACCAATACAGACACATGTAAACACAGGCGGTGACAGAAGTTGGCGGGGATGGGAAGTAGGATGGGGGAAGGGCGTTAACCGCCGTACACGACATGAGGGATTGATCAGCCAGATGTTGTGTCATCCCCCTCAAGGAGTGAGTGTAAGTCGACATCCAACTAACACTGTTTTCAAGGAACTGTCTTCAGGAACGTCACAAATATGGGATCACCAAACGAGATTGATGAGGAAATGGTATTGTCAGATTGAAGTTTGGTCTTGCATGTTAAAATATGACGTAGCTCTTCCTACCTCCATGAGCGTGAAGAGCGCGGCGAAGAAGAGAAGAGTGGACCACTCCACTTTGTGCAGGATGGACTCCATGTCTGAGATGTCGGCGAGGACAAGCAGCCACAGCGCCCCCAGGATCGCAATCCAACCTGATGTGCCGCATGTAATACTCGTTCATTGTAAACAATCATGTGTGAAGGTCATTTAAGAAATATGAACGTTTTTTCAGAGATTTCTGATTGCATCATGTTTTACTCAGATGAACATAATTTGATGAATTCTTTTAGAAAATAATTCTCCTGACGGAGTGAGGTAAACAAAGTATGCCTCTAACACAAGTGCCAGCTTTAACGCAAGTGCCAGCTATATTAACGTCGGATGCGCGTGAGCAATATAGACACGTGAGATAACACGTGACCTCACCTAGGCCTACGTGCAAGGCGGGTATGAATGAGTGCAGAAACAGAAGCAGCACCACGGCGAACAGCACACACCCGCTCTTGATGAGGAGGGAAAGTTGGTAATCCGGTACTGAAACATGCCAGATGAGTGAGTGAGTGAGTTGGGTTTTAGCCCGCTTTTAGCGATATTCCAGCAATGTCACGGCGGGGAACAGCATAAATGGGCTTCACGTCGTACCCATGGGGAATCGAACCTGGTCTTCGGCGTGACGAGCGAACGCTTTAACCTCTAGGCTAACCCAGCGCCCGACAAGGCAGATGAGGCGTCAGGAACTACTACACTGGGTAACAGGCACCAGTATTGGGAATATGACTATTTAAATTAAAACCTCAGTACTTTCTTTTAGCACGGAAACAAACAGAATTGAGGATCAGATAGTCCTTAAAGAAAAGGAACACCAGTTATTGGTTTATGTAGAAATACGGCGTTATAGTGACGGGTATCAGTAGCACGCCGCACGACAAGTACCTTTTTCTTTAAATCGTGATACGTGGACAGGAAGTCTTGTTCTTCGTCTTGCCTGAAACAACACAGCACGTGTTATACATTGAGACAACAGCAAAGGGTCTGCACTCACCTGGAGGCTTGGACGGAGACAGTTTAAGGGAACAGTTCGTCATAAGCAATATGTTAAATAAACTTGTATAACTCGGCCGCCGTGTGGTGAATGCCAGTGACAGGTGATGCTACAGGGGCTTGTGACGCATCAAGGTACATGTATATATTGCCAGCCAATCCGTGACCTGATGTGAGTGGTGTGTGGCCATGATGGCCACGTCTGATAATGTTAGTTGTGCATATCGGTGATATCTGATATAACATGAGTTGTCCTTGTCGATGATGATAATGTCTGGTATAACATGAGTTGTGAATGTCGATGATGATGATGTCTGATATAACATGAGTTGTCCTTGTCGATGATGGTGACGTCTGGTATAACATGAGTTGTGAATAATGTTGATGGTGACGTGAGTTGTGCATGTCGGTGATGGTGACGTCTGATATAACATGAGTTGTGCATGTCGGTGATGGTGACGTCTGATATAACATGAGTTGTGCATGTCGGTGATGGTGACGTCTGATATAACATGAGTTGTGCATGTCGGTGATGGTGACGTCTGATATAACATGAGTTGTGCATGTCGGTGATGATGTGTGATATAACATGAGTTGTGAATGTCGGTGATAGTGACGTCTGATATAACATGAGTTGTGCATGTCGGTGATGGTGACGTCTGATATAACATGAGTTGTGCATGTCGGTGATGGTGACGTCTGATATAACATGAGTTGTGCATGTCGGTGATGATGACGTCTGATATAACATGAGTAGTGCATGTCGGTGATGGTGACGTATGATATAACATGAGTTGTGAATGTCGGTGATGGTGACGTCTGATATAACATGAGTTGTGCATGTCGGTGATGATGACGTCTGATATAACATGAGTAGTGCATGTCGGTGATGATGACGTCTGATATAACATGAGTTGTGAATGTCGGTGATGGTGACGTCTGATATAACGTGAGTTGTGCATGTCGGTGATGGTGACCTCTGATATAACATCAGTTGTGCATGTCGGTGATGGTGACGTCTGATATAACATGGGTTGTCCATGTCGATGATGATGACGTCTGATATAACATGAGTTGTGCATGTCGGTGATGATGACGTCTGATATAACGTGAGTTGTGAATGTCGATGATGGTGACGTCTGATATAACATGAGTTGTGCATGTCGGTGATGGTGACGTCTGATATAACATGAGTTGTGCATGTCGGTGATGATGATGTCTGATATAACATGAGTTGTGAATGTCGGTGATGGTGATGTCTGTTAAAACGAGTTGTGCATGTCGGTGATGGTGACGTCTGATATAACATGAGTTGTGCACGTCGGTGATGGTGACGTCTGATATAACATGAGTAGTGCATGTCGGTGATGGTGACGTCTGATATAACGTGAGTAGTGCATGTCGGTGATGGGGACGTCTGATATAACATGAGTTGTGCATGTCGGTGATGGTGACGTCTGATATAACGTTAGTTGTGAATGTCGGTGATGGTGACGTCTGATATAACGTGAGTAGTGCATGTCGATGATGGGGACGTCTGATATAACATGAGTTGTGCATGTCGGTGATGGGGACGTCTGATATAACATGAGTTGTGAATGTCGGTGATGGGGACGTCTGATATAACGTGAGTAGTGCATGTCGATGATGGGGACGTCTGATATAACATGAGTTGTGCATGTCGGTGATGGGGACGTCTGATATAACGTTAGTTGTGAATGTCGGTGATGGTGACGTCTGATATAACGTGAGTAGTGCATGTCGATGATGGGGACGTCTGATATAACATGAGTTGTGCATGTCGGTGATGGGGACGTCTGATATAACGTGAGTTGTGAATGTCGGTGATGGGGACGTCTGATATAACATGAGTTGTGAATGTCGGTGACGGGGACGTCTGATATAACGTGAGTTGTGAATGTCGGTGATGGGGACGTCTGATATAACGTTAGTTGTGAATGTCGGTGATGGTGACGTCTGATATAACATGAGTTGTGAATGTCGGTGATGGTGTCATCTGATATAACGTGAGTTGTGAATGTCGGTATTGATGATGTCTGATATAACATGAGTTGTGCATGTCGGTGATGATGACGTCTGATATAACATGAGTTGTGAATGTCGGTGATGGTGACATCTGATATAACGTGAGTAGTGCATGTCGGTATTGATGATGTCTGATATAACATGAGTTGTGCATGTCGGTGATGGTCTTGTCTGATATAACATGAGTTGTGCATGTCGATGATGGTGACGTCTGATATAACGTTAGTTGTGAATGTCGGTGATGGTGATGTATGATATAACATGAGTTGTGCATGTCGGTATTGATGATGTCTGGTATAACATGAGTTGTGCATGTCGGTGATGGTGACGTGTGATGATGTGAGTGGTGCATGTCGATGATGGTGACGTCTGATGATGTGAGTGGTGCATGTCGATGATGTCTGATAAGGTGAGTTGTGCATGTCGATGATGGTGACGTCTGATGAGGTGAGTGGTGCACGTCTGATAATGTTAGTTGTGCATATCGGTGATATCTGATATAACATGAGTTGTCCTTGTCGATGATGATGATGTCTGGTATAACATGAGTTGTGAATGTCGGTGATGGTGACGTCTGATATAACATGAGTTGTGCATGTCGGTGATGGTGACGTCTGATATAACGTTAGTTGTGAATGTCGGTGATGGGGACGTCTGATATAACATGAGTTGTGCATGTCGGTGATGGTGACGTCTGATATAACATGAGTTGTGCATGTCGGTGATGGTGACGTCTGATGATGTGAGTGGTGCATGTCGATGATGGTGATGTCTGATATAACATGAGTTGTGCATGTCGGTGATGGTGACATCTGATATAACGTGAGTTGTGCATGTCGGTATTGATTATGTCTGATATAACATGAGTTGTGCATGTCGGTGATGGTCATGTCTGATATAACATGAGTTGTGCATGTCGATGATGGTGACGTCTGATATAACGTTAGTTGTGAATGTCGGTGATGGTGATGTATGATATAACATGAGTTATGCATGTCGGTGATTGATGATGACGATCTGATATAACATGAGTTGTGCATGTCGGTGATGATGTGATGATGTCTGGTGCATGTCGATGATGGTGACGTCTGATGATGTCAGTGATGGTGACGATGATGTCTATAACAGTGAGTTGTGCATGTCGATGATGGTGACGTCTGATATAACATGAGATAATGTTAGTTGTGCATATCGGTGATGTCTGATATAACATGAGTTGTCACTTATCGATGATGATGACGTCTGATATAACATGGAGGTTGTGAATGTCGGTTGATAGTGACGTCTGATATAAACATGAGTTGTGCATGTCGGTGATGGTGACGTCTGATATTAACATGGGGACGTTGATATAACATGAGTTTATACATGTCGGTGATGGTGACGTCTGATATAACATGAGTTGTGCATGTCGGTGATGGTGACGTCTGATATAACATGAGTTGTGAATGTCGGTGATGGTGATGATGATGTTGAGTGGTGCATATAACATGAGTTGATATAACATGTCATGTGATGATAAGGACGTCTGATATAACGTGAGTTGTGAATGTCGGTATTGATTATGTCTGATATAACATGAGTTTGTGAATGTCGTGATGGTGACGTCTGATATAACGTGAGTTGTGCATGTCGGTGATGGTGACATCTGATATATAACATGAGTTGCTGCATGTCGGTATTGATGATGTCTGATATAACATGAGTTGTGAATGTCGGTGATGGTGACGTCTGATATAACGTGAGTTGTGCATGTCGATGATGGTGACGTCTGATATAACATGAGTTGTGCATGTCGATGATGGTGACGTCTGATATAACGTGAGTTGTGAATGTCGGTGATGGTGATGTCTGATATAACATGAGTTGTGCATGTCGGTATTGATGATGTCTGATATAACATGAGTTGTGAATGTCGGTGATGGTGACGTCTGATATAACGTGAGTTGTGAATGTCGATGATGGTGATGTCTGATATAACATGAGTTGTGCATGTCGATGATGGTGACGTCTGATATAACGTTAGTTGTGAATGTCGGTGATGGTGATGTCTGATATAACATGAGTTGTGCATGTCGGTGATGGTGACGTCTGATGATGTGAGTGGTGCATGTCGATGATGGTGACGTCTGATGATGTGAGTGGTGCATGTCGATGATGTCTGATAAGGTGAGTTGTGCATGTCGATGATGGTGACGTCTGATGATGAGAGTGGTGCACGTCTGATAATGTTAGTTGTGCATATCGGTGATATCTGATATAACATGAGTTGTCCTTGTCGATGATGATGATGTCTGGTATAACATGAGTTGTGATTGTCGGTGATGGTGACGTCTGATATAACATGAGTTGTGCATGTCGGTGATGGTGACGTCTGATATAACGTGAGTTGTGAATGTCGGTGATGGTGACGTCTGATATAACATGAGTTGTGCATGTCGGTGATGGTGACGTCTGATATAACATGAGTTGTGAATGTCGGTGATGGTGACGTCTGATGATGTGAGTGGTGCATGTCGATGATGGTGATGTCTGATATAACATGAGTTGTGCATGTCGATGATGGTGACGTCTGATATAACGTTAGTTGTGAATGTCGGTGATGGTGATGTCTGATATAACGTGAGTTGTGCATGTCGGTGATGAAGTGATGTCTGATATAACATGAGTTGTGAATGTCGGTGATGGTGACGTCTGATATAACATGAGTTGGTGCATGTCGGTGATGGTGACATCTGATATAACATGGAGTTGTGAGTTATGAATGTCGGTGATGTTCGGTGACGTCTGATATAACATGAGTTGTGAATGTCGGTGATGGTGACGTCTGATGATGTGAGTGGTGCATGTCGATGATGGTGACGTCTGATGATGTGAGTGGTGCATGTCGATGATGTC